CAGGTATTGGCAGAGACTTCATGCACATCCCAGTTTTCTTGGCCCTGAAGTGGGGAGGCGTTGCCCTAAGCTGGCCCTGTGGTTGATATTTAGCATCTTGGGCAGCTTCAGGCCAGCTCCTGAAACAGTGCCCTGTGTCCTGTCGCTCCTTAAAACATCAGTGGAGTTTGAGATTTGGTTAGCTTGGGTCCTGAGCAGTATTCCCTGAACCCATAACCCTCTGAACCAGGCGCCTAACCCACCTGGGATCCAGAGTGCACATCAGCGAACCAACCATGGTTTGCCGAGAACTTACTCTTCCAGCGAGGAGGTGTGCGGAGACTGCGGTGGCTGCTGCGGCATGTGGCGCTGCTTTGCGGGGCTCGGGCTGCAGGACGCCAGAGACACTGAAGTCAGCCACCTGGCCAAAGCTGCCACCTGTACCCGAAACTCGGCCTCTGTGGAAAAGTTCAGTTGGGGGTTGGTTGGTTGGTTTTTAATCGGGAACTTTTTCTTTTCTTTTTTTGAGAAATGCACTCTATTTTTTTTAAGGTTTTATTTGAGAGAGAGAGAGAGAGAGAGAGAGAGAGAGAGAGAGAGCGCACAAGAGGGGGGAGGGGCAGAGGGAGAAGCAGACTCCCTGCTGAGCAGGGAGCCCGATGGGGAGCTCCATCCCAGGACTGTGGGATCATGACCTGAGCCGAAGGCAGACGCTTAGCCGAATGAGCCACCCTGGTGCCCCGGGAACATTTTTAAACAGCCATTTGGCATACCTATCATCCAATTCAACAATTATTAACACTTAGGCACTTTTGCTCCAGCTAAATTAAGTTACAGGATATGATGTCATTTTGCTTCTACATATCCAGTGTACATGTCTAAAGAGCATGGCATTTTCTGCACAACCACAATGCTGTTCTCATATCTTACAAGATTAACGAAACCTTTGGTTGTAGCTTTTGTGCATGTGTTGTGCCAGAGAACTGTTTTTTAAAGTATCAGAGGTATCTTTCTCTCAAATAAATAAATAAAATCTTTTTTAAAAAGGGTGGTGGGGGGGCACCTGAGTAGCTTGGTCAGTTAAGTGTCTTCCTTTGACTCAGGTCATGATCTCAGGGTCCTGGGATCAAGTCCTGTATAGGGCTCCCTGCTCGACAGGGAGTCTCCTTCTCCCTCTCCCTCTTCCCCTCCCCCTGCTTGTGCACTCCCTCTCTCTCAAATAAATAAAATCTTTAAAAAAATAAAATAAAAAAATAAAGTGTCAGAGGTAAACTGTGTGTGGATTCAGAACCCAGCTAAGGGGATTGTGGGGCAGGGCCTCCTTCCAGTTTAGGTGAGCCTGAACTGGTTTGGTGCCTCTAACATTGAACCAGCAGCTGAGAACCACCTAAGTTAGGAATCGGAGCAAAACTACTTAGGACATCACTGTTTTTTTTTTTTAGATTTTATTTATTTATTTGACAGAGACACAGCGAGAGAGGGAACACAAGCAGGGGGAGTGGAAGAGGGAGAAGCAGGCTTCCCGCCAAATAGAGAGCCTGATGCGTGGCTCGATCCCAGGACCCTGGGACCATGACCTGAGCCGAAGGCAGATGCTTAACGACTGAGCCACGCAGGCGCCCCAGGACATCACTGTTAAAGGCCAAGGGAATGTCCCTGGACTAGCCAGACCATGCTGGTCACCAGTTGGTGGGCACCAATGGCCCACATTGATGGGCAGTTCTTCTTCAGTTCCTAGCCCTTTGCCATCAGCAGCTCATTGCAGCCTCAGCACTGTCCTGTTGGGCCTGACCCTCTCTATTTTAGAGGGGACTCAGAGCCTGGCTAGCAAAGGGTGAGCCAGAGACAAGACCAGGCTCAGTGTCTGAATCTATCCCTTTTGTGGAAGAAGGCAGGGTTACCCTTACTTTGGGTGTTGCGCAGAAACCTCCAGGGGAGCAGCACTTCGTACCTGAATGTGAAGTGCCGGGTCCATCCTGCTGTTGGTGGGCAAACTCCTCTAACCCGTACACTCATGTTCTGTGGGACAGAACAGCCCTTGGCTCAGGCTAACTGGGGAACCACATCCTATCCAGTGACTGCTAGGCTCTATTTTGGACAGAGATGACTCATAAAACTCAGGACTTGCCATTTTTGGTTGATCAGTTCCATTTCCCAAGAGGTGGCTGGCCACTTGAGAGGCATGAGGTCCCTAAGGTCACACCAGCACGTTCTGGGCCACAGGCCGCATCCTGGATACCAACAGGGGCGTGGGCTTGAGTGGGCGGCCACAGATGGGGGTGCTGAGCCCTGGAATGGCCCCACTGTTCAGGAACCAAATAGTGGAGCTGTTGTTGACCCAGAGATCAGGCTGGACGGGGTCTTCTTTTTTGAAGTTGCATCTCAAGAAAGAAGAAACACCAAGCAACATGGGAAGATCAGATTTGCCTAGATTGAGGATAGTTTCTGTTGTTTCGTGGGTGTTTCAGTTTTGTTTTGTGTTTGGAACGAAGAACTTAAACAGATACAGCCCAGCAGCTGGGGCCTACCCTATCTCAGCAGGCCTCTCACTTTAACTTTTGTGATGGCTGTGTCCCTTGTTTTGTTAGCACAGCTGGCTGTCTCTGCCCTGCCCAGAAAGGGGCTTTTGTCTAGGTCAGCTTAGCTTTCAGGGGTTCCATCAAGATCTTGTATCCAGAGACCAGCTCTGTCCCCTTCTAAGTGATAGGTCTCTAGCAGGGCTCCTTCGTAAGGTAGAGGTGGTACCTCAGCTGCTGCCTGATCCTGGACCTTTGGGGGCCCACCAGGCCTCAAGCAGGAACAAACCCTTGTCATGATGAGCATCCCATTCTGTCCCCCTCAGAGCCCCGGGGGAGGGCACCTTGCACTGTGGGGAGGGCCACAGGAGAGGTACCCACCTTGCAGACCCCACATAGGCAGTGCACACGCACTTGGCTGAAAACATGGTTGGAGGAGGAGAAAGCAGGTCCCTGCTCATTTCAGCTTTGAGCCAGTGCTGTGCAGGGGGACGTGTCAAGGTGGCATGGTCCCCACCCCCTGGGAGTTTGGCGTGTGCCAGAAGAGAGAACCCAATGTGGCCACAGAGCCACAGAGCTCCTGCAGTACGTCCACCTCCTCCTGCCCACCTCCTGACTGCTCAGCCCACGTGGTCCTAGGGGGCTGCCAGCCCATGAGCGGCCCTCACAGGAATGCTTCTTGCTTAGTAGAGCCTGCTGGGGTTGTGTCCAGGGATTAGAGACTGAGCATCTGCCCCACCGTCCCAGTGGTCAAGCCTCGGGGTGGATTTCAGCCCCTGGCAGCTGGCACATTAGGACATGACCTTCCTGGGGACCCTCCCGGAAACACCTGAAGTCTCATGGGAACCAGGCACTAACGATGCCAGGGCAGTCCGAGCAGGTGACCTTGAAGGATTGTCATAGGCACTTACTTGGGCTGGCTGAGTGGTCAGGGCTGAACATCTGGGTCCCCAAGACCTTTGGGTGTTGCCGAGATGATCTTGGTGCACATTCACAGAACCGGTTTCTAGAGTAAGCTCAGGTCAGTAGGTGATGACCAGCCTCTCTGGGGTCCCGCCACCCCCAACATTTGTTATGAAAAAATTCGAACATACAGAGAAGTTGAATGTGTGGGCAGTAAGTTCCTGTATTGTGTCTTATCTGCCACCTGGATGGAGTGGTGAATAGCATTGTATCATGTTTGCTTCCTAAGTAGTTGGATTCTCTTGAAACATTTAGTTTCAGACCTCACAATGCCTCACTCCCAAGACTTCCTACCTAATTACACACTTTCTTGTCCAGTACCGTCAGTAACAGCTTCATAACATCATCTGCTGTCTAGCCCGTGTTTACATTTCCCCAGAAGGTTATTTTGACTTGTTCTTTTTCCCGTTGGGGGTTTACACATCACAATCAGTGCTAGATCTTCTCACCTCTTTTAGTTTACTTTTTTTCCTTTTTTTTTTTTTAATGACCTTGATCTTTTGAAGAGACCAGGCCAGTTGCCTTGTAGAATGCCCCTCATTCCGTGTATGTTGGGCGTTATGGTGCCCTTGAACTGAAGCCTGTGTGCAGTTAGGCCTGGAGGCTCGAATGGGTCTGCGCCCAGCATTTTAGGTGGAACCCTGAGTGATGAGTGTATTTCACATCTCGGTTAGAGGCTGGGCTTGAGGGGCTGCTGGACCTGGGTTGGCAGGTTCCGCTTTCTCGTAGTCAGTAAATCCTGGGAGTGCAGGTGCTCTGTGGGAGCCCAGCCTTTCCACCTGCCTTCCTTCAACTAAAACAAAGAGGCTGCTCCAGCAGCCTGGACTGAACATACTCTCCTGATTTAGAAGAGTTGTTAGCAGGGCGCTCGCCCCGCTCTCAATCTCAGGGTCATGAGTTCAAGCCACACGTTGGGCATGGAGATTGCTGAAAGAAAAATAAGAATGCAGGATCCTTTATAAAATAAATAAATAAATAATATATTTTTAAATATAAAAGAGTTATCAGCAACTCATGACCCTTGATTTGAACTTTGGTGTGTCTCATAGTCTCTCTTCCTGCCCATGAGTCTTTGTCCGCTGGCTGGGGGAGGAGAAGCAGCCCAGCCAGCTAGCGCCACTTCTGCTGAAATCCAGCCCAACCGTGGCCCCCCACCAGGCTGCCCCAGGGGGGACCCAGGTCGGGAAACATTGGGATGTGGGGCAGAGTGGGGGGCGGTGCTCTCTGCAGCGGCAGAGAAACAGCTTCGGGAGGGAGATGTGAGACCAGTGGGGGAGGAGCTGGGCTGGGGTGGGGCACCCCATTTCCTCGTCTGTGGTGTGGGGGGCGACTGCCACCTGTGCCTTGGGGCTGTTGTGAGAGACAGACACACTCGGTGTGGGTACTGAGGAGACGTCCGTCCATGGGCGACCATACTAGCTTCCCTGTCTTGCCTGCCTCACAGGTTAGCATGAGGAGGAGGAGGAGGTAGTATGTGGTGACTGCCCGGTGGGCTGGTGAGGGGGCGCGGCCACCCTCCTGACGCCGCCTCCCTCCCTGCAGGTGTGAATGACAGAGGTGGTGCCGTCCAGCGCCCTCAGCGAGGTCAGCCTACGCCTCCTCTGCCATGATGACATAGACACCGTGAAGCATCTGTGTGGTGACTGGTTCCCCATTGAGTAAGTTGAGCAGCACCCACTGTCCCAGCTGCAGCTCGGTAGGGCGGGGGGTGAGGCTGGGGGGGAAGGGACACACGTAAGCGCCGGTGCTGGAGCCAGAAGACTTGCTATGACAGCCAATGTGGCCTGGAGGTTCCGTGGTGGCCCAGTGTCACCTTCCCTATTGTTGGACCCCAGGCCTCGGGCCCTGGCTACCATCAGCCTCTTTCCACCTCACCGCATCCCTCGTGCAGAGAGTTCCCCAGAAGGCCTTTTCTGAGAGTCTTTAGTTGAAAAGATTTTCAGTGCAGTGCTATTGGTAATTCAGAAAATTGAGAAGCAACTTAAGTATCCTAACAGTGAGGACTTGGTTCCATACGTTGGGGTATGTGCCTGCAAGGGCTTGTTATTCAGCCAGGGGGGTAAAAATCTGTTGAAGAGCTGTATTTGTTGATAAGGATTTTTTTTAAGATTTTATTCATTTATTTGAGAGAGAGAATGAGAGATAGAGAGCATGAGAGGGAAGAGGGTCAGAGGGAGAAGCAGACTCCCTGCTGAGCAGGGAGCCGGATGTGGAACTCGATCCGGTGACTCCAGGATCATGACCTGAGCTGAAGGCAGTCGCTTAACCAACTGAGCCACCCAGGCGCCCAGGATTTTTTTTTTTAAAGATTTTTTTACTTATTGAGAGAAAGAATGAGAGAGAGAGAGCACATGAGAGGGGGGAGGGTCAGAGGGAGAAGCAGACTCCCTGCCGAGCAGGGAGCCCAATGCGGGACTCAATCCCGGGACTCCAGGATCATGACCTGAGCCAAAGGCAGTCGCTTAACCAACTGAGCCACCCAGGCGCCCGATAAGGATTTTTTTTAATGAGATAATAAATGGGAAAAGTAGACTAGAAAACAGTGTGTATCCCAGGCCTGCTTTTATTTATTTATTTATTTATTTTTAAGATTTTATTTGTTTACTTGACAGCAGGAGAGCACAAGCAGAGGGAGAGGGAGAAGCAGGCTCCCTACTGAGCAGGGAGCCCGATGCGGGGCCTGATCCCAGGACCCTTGGAACAAGACCCAAGCCAAAGGCAATCGCCTAATCGACTGAGCCACCCAGGCACCCCTCAATCCTGCTTTTTTTTTTTTTTTTAAAGATTTTATTTATTTATTTGACAGAGAGAGACACAGTGAGAGAGGGAACACAAGCAGGGGGAGTGGGAGAGGGAGAAGCAGGCTTCCCGCCGAGCAGGGAGCTTGATGCGGGGCTCGATCCCAGGACCGGGATCATGACCTGAGCCAAAGGTAGACGCTCAACCAGCTGAGCCACCCAGGCACCCCTCAATCCTGCATTTATTTAAAAACATGTACAAGAGGGGCGCCTGGGTGGCTCAGTTGATTAGGCGATTGCCTTTTAAGCGTCTGCCTTCAGCTCAGTTCATGATCCCAGGGTCCTGGGATCGAGCACTGCATCAAGCTTCTTGCTCTGCGGGAAGCCTGCTTCTCCCTCTCCCACTCCCCCTGCTTGTGTTCCCTCTCTCGCTGTCTCTTTCTCTGTCAAAAAATAAATAAAATCTTTAAAATAAATAAATAAAAACATGTACAAGATAAAAGCTTATGAGGTTATATTCCGTGTAGCAGGGTGTTTTTAGTAGTTTGAGGTGGGCAGATTATTAGCAGCTACAGTTTTGTCTGTTTTGCTTCTGTAATAGGCACATACAGTTTTTGTAGTGGGAAAAATAGTTGCAGGCTTTTTTTTTTTTAAGATTTTATTTATTTATTTGACAGAGAGACACAGCAAGAGAGGGAACACAAGCAGGGGGAGTGGGAGAGGGAGAAGCAGGCTTCCCGCCAAGCGGGGAGCCCGATGCTGGGCTTGATCCCAGGATCCCGGGATCATGACCTGAGCCGAAGGCAGACGCCTAACGACTGAGCCACCCAGGCGCCCCAGACACAGGCTTTTTGTTTTACAAACTGGCAGTACAAGATAAAGAAGTACTGGGGTGTAATGAACCACATGCCAACTAGAGTGAACACTGTTGGATATGTTATATGTAGGAAGCTGTTCATACAGTAAATCCTGAGTTCTCATCACAAGAATTTATTATTAAAAAAAAAAATTCGTAAAAATGAACTAGATCCCGCCAAGCCTCGTATTTCCATGAGTCCTGACCTCAGACTAGTGGTTTAATCTGTTGCAGGCCGGGAGGGAGGAGACGGGCCAGCCTCACGGCTCTGGTGGGATGTGCCTCAGCCTCCTGGGGATGTGGGCTAGTGGCGGTTTTATGGGCCATAGAAGGGCCGTGCTTCCGCCAGCAGTCCCGCTGCCACCGCAAAGTAGCCCAGTATGTGCTCGGATAAGACCCAGCTGAGGGCGCCTGCGCCCAGTAGAGCCCCGTGGGGCCGTAGCTTCTGCCTCCTGAGGCGCCCAGCCTTCCTGCCTCTCGTCACAGCTTCCTGCGCCCGAGGCCTCAGGTTCCGAAGACGGTGGAGTGAACTGCAGTCCCATTGGCTGTGTGGTGGCAGCTCCATGTCCTGGTTGCCATGCCAGCCGATCCCTCTGGGGTAGTGTGACGAGGACCAGGGAGGAGTACAGGTGATGTTCAGGCCCTGTAGAACCTTCTGGTGAATGGTCAGTGGCCGCTGTAGAGTAGAGCCGAGTAGAGGACCTGTCTGCTATGTCACCGAGAGGGTATGGTCCCCTCCCCCAGCTCTTGGTCTCAACAAAGGCATCTCAGGCTAACCTATTATGTCTACCCCAAGCTAAAAAACAAGCCCACACGCCCCTAGGCCCCGAGTGCCCCTGCCCTCCTGACCATGTCTCCTGGCTGTGGTGAGTCTGCCTTTCGTTACTGTCCTGGGGCTTTGCACTAAATGTTCTCTTCCTGCTCCCCTGAGTGAGGGGTCTTGGTAAATAGCCCCTAGCAACCCTAGCCACACCCTGCCCTCGAAACCTTGTCCCCATCCCTGCCCAGGGAGGTGCAGTGAACTCAAATGCCACTCAGCTGTGAACTTGGCTCTCCCCACACCCCCAGTCTTCAGAAGGACTCACAGAATTCTCGGAAATCACCCAGGTCTATGGGCTATCAAGGACCATCAGTCTTAACTCATCCAGCTATCCAGCTGTCCCTCCACATCCTGCTCTTGTCGAGAGAATGTTGTCAGAGGTTTTTTTTTTTTTCTCTCATCTCTCAAAAAATGATAGTAAAATTATTTTTCCCATTAGAAATTCCCAGTCCCGGGGCGCCTGGGTGGCTCAGTCGTTAGGCATCTGCCTTCGGCTCAGGTCATGATCCCAGGGTCCTGGGGATTGAGCCCTGCGTCAGGCTCCCTGCTCTGCAGGAAGCCTGCTTTTCCCTCTCCCACTCCCCCTGCTTGTTTTCCCTCTCTGGCTGTCTCTCTCTCTGTAAATAAATAAAATCTTTAAAAAAAAGTTTTGTATAAAAAAAAAAAAGAAATTCCCAGTCCCGTCTAGGGGTTCCTAAGTGGCTCAGTAAGTAAAGTGTCCAACTCTTTTTTTTTTTTAAGATTTATTTATTTATTTATTTATTTATTTATTTGAGAGAGAGAGAGAGAGAGAGAGAAACAGCATGAGAGGGGAAAGGGTCAGAGGGAGAAGCAGGCTCAATGTGGGACTCGATCCCAGGACTCCGGGATCATGACCTGAGCCGAAGGCAGTCGCTTAACCAACTGAGCCACCCAGGCGCCCGAAGTGTCCAACTCTTGGTTTCAGCTCAAGTCATGATCTCAGGGTCATGAGATCAAGCCCTGCGTTGGGCTTCGCACTAGGAGTCTGCTTGAGTTTCTCCCTCTCCCTCTGCCCCTTCCCCCCCAAAATAAATAAATAAACCTTAAAAAGCCACACATTTTTAAGAAATTCCCAGTCCCATCTAGACAGATTACTGCTTTAAGAAGACCCTTTGGTGTAGGCTGAGTGGTGGACAGACTCCTTATCAACCGTGGAACAGTGGGCAGAGTGTGGTTCCACTGTGAAGCCCCACATTAGTTGAGCTTGACCTTTGGGGGTTCACCTCAGTTTGTTCTCCTCAGGTACCCAGACTCATGGTATCGTGATATCACCTCCAACAAGAAGTTCTTTTCCCTCGCCGCGACCTACAGGGGTGCCATCGTGGGAATGATAGTAGCTGAAATAAAAAGTAGGACCAAGATACACAAGGAAGTAAGTACGTGTGGCAAGGAGTTGGTGGTCCCTGTCGCTGCACGGGCCTGCAAGGGCTTGCAGCCAAATCACACTGCCTTCTCTGTGGCCCTTTCTCCTCGCAGCCCAGACCAATTATGAGACTCATACCTAGTTGGTTTCCTTCTGGGTGTAGGTGATACAGTTAGACACGAATTGAATAAGAGTCCTAGCTGCAGGCTTCATAACGGCTGGCATTTTAAAGTAGGGAGGAGTTAAAAAAAACCCAAAACACAAAGTAGGGGGGAATGTAAATGGTACACTGAAAACCCCCAAAGTTGTCAAGGGCTCTGGGAAGATCAATGATTTGTAGAAACTACTAATGGTGCTGTAGTTGGTTGAAGGACATGCTAGGTTCCAGTTAGGGGTTAGTGAAGATAGAGATATAATTTCTTTTCATCCAGCTTCACAGACCTCTCCGAGATCTATGTTGGAACTCCTAAGAGTCTGTGGCCCCACATCAGCAAGCTCTGCTCTGAGTATAAAATAAAATGTGAGGTCACGGCCACAGACACATTGTTCTGTGTGGTTGTCTTGGGTCAAGATTCTGCCCAGTAATTTTGGTCATCTTCGCAACTGAGTAGTGTTTATCATGTGGGTGTTTACTCCAAGGACAGGAAAAAACCCACTGACAACTGGCAGCAGGTTCTATCTGTTCAGCTTCAGCTTATTTCTTTAAAAGTACAAGAAGGACATCGCCCTTTGAAAGACCCGACCCGCTCAAGTGTTGTACCCATTTTGCTTGTAATTAGATTCTGGCAAAGGTAGTTTCTTTTAAGAGTGACTTTCTGTCCCAGCTCCCTCCTGAGTTTTTTTCTTCCACTTTGTGTTGCATAGTGGTCAGATTCAGGAGCCCCCCAGGCACAGGGCGGCATGGGGCGGAGCTCTGCCTGGCGTGGGCAGCACAGGGCTGTGAGGCCGCTCAGACACCCACTCCCTTTGCTCAGAGACCGCCTGGGGGCAGCGTAGGATCCTTGAGGCAAACCTTTTCAAACTTTGTCTCGTCCTGGGTGTCCAGTACGTGTCCACGTGGCACAGTCACTTCCCCGTTACTGCTCTGCCTTCAACCCTTGTCAGGTCCACCACAGCTCCCCAAGAGGAGCGACATTCCGACAAGAGGAGCAACATTCCGTGTGTGTCCTTAGTTTAGCCATTCGTGCCGCCAGGACCTGCACCCTGTCATTTCCGTGTGGGTGTCTGTGGGACTGACTCTCCATTATCCTTTGCTCTGTCCCCTCCCACCCCAGCCCCACCCCATGTGTCGTGGTCAGGGAGTCGGTAGGTGGGATGTGCCCTGCAGTGGTACCAGGTGCCTCAACCGTTAACTTGCCTTTATGTCTGACTTTTCCTTCAGGACGGAGATATTCTAGCTTCCAACTTCTCTGTTGACACGCAGGTTGCGTACATTTTAAGTCTGGGAGTAGTGAAGGAGTTCAGGAAGCACGGCATCGGTAAGGGGAGCTGAGCTTGTGGGGTTTGGCACATGTGCTCCAGCCACCATGTGCAGTCATTTCCCACGTGCTGATGAGCAGCCCATAAATGTCCCTCGTCCCCCTGGCCTGCAGGGACGTTCAGCCTCCTGCCCCTCCCAGCAGCTCTCCCTGCCCCACCTCCAGTCTGTTGGCCTTCAGCTTGTGCTCTTTGCACCCATCATCAGGTCTCTAGGCAATGGCCTCATTCCCAAGTCTGACTGGATCAGATTCATAACGCTCCCAGATGTCCTGCTCAGGGAATGGGCACCTCTCACCACACCTGCCACCACACATGGCTTATGTTTGGTCACGAGGTGTTCTTGATTAAGAATAGAAAACATAATTGAAAAACAGTCCCAGGGACGCCTGGGTGGCTCAGTCGGTTAAGTGTCTGCCTTCAGCTCAGGTCATGATCCCAAGGTCCTGGGATTGAGTGCCACATCAGGCCCCTTGCTCAGCGGGGAGCCTGCTTCTCCCTCTGCCTGCCGTTCCCCCTGCTTGTGCTCTCTCCCTCTCTCTCTTTCTCTGACAAATAAATAAATAGATTTTTTTTTTAAGATTTTATTTATTTATTTGACAGAGACAGACACAGCGAGAGCAGGAACACAAGCAGGGGGAGTGGGAGAGGGAGAAGCAGGCTTCCCGTGGAGCAGGGAGCCTGATGCAGGGCTCGATCCCAGGACCCTGGGATCATGACCTGAGCTGAAGGCAGACACTTAACGACTGAGCCACCCAGGCGCCCAAATGAATAAAATTTAAAAGAAAAAGAAAAACAGTCCCAGCTGCCATTTATCAGATGCCCGTTGCGTGCAGGTAGCTGTGCCCCAGGCCTATCTCCAAAATCCCCCCACTCTGCCACACAGCCAGCAGGCAGCAGTCTTCCTGCGTGACCCAGGCCTGTCTGTTCTACCTTTTCCTGAGCTACATTTGCTCTTTCTGTTGTGGGAAAGGTTAGTGAGTCTCCACCCCTGGCCCAGCCCCTGCCAGGGAAGTACCTGGCCCCTGTCTGTGGTTCCAGATGCCCGATGGTGTGCAGCAGATGAGCCCCGTCTGGCCATGGGATTTTAGGGGCTCTGACAGGGTGGTTATGGGAGTTCATCTTTGATACAATGGCAGGGAGATCTGTAGAGATGTCTGGCAAGGTCACTTCCTTGTCTGCTTCATGCTCCCTGCCTGCCTGTCCTGCCGTGTGTGACTGTCGCCCTTTCTCCTGCAGGTTCCCTTTTACTTGAGAGTTTAAAGGATCACATATCAACCACTGCCCAGGACCACTGCAAAGCCATCTACCTGCACGTCCTCACCACCAACAACACAGCAATAAACTTCTACGAAAACAGAGACTTTAAGCAACATCACTATCTCCCCTATTACTACTCCATCCGAGGGGTCCTCAAAGATGGCTTCACCTATGTCCTCTACATCAACGGCGGCCACCCTCCCTGGACAATCCTATATCCTTTACTTCTCAGGGGTGAGGGATGTGGCTTCCTAGCCACAAGGGTCACTCGCAGGGTCGGGGCCCATGCACCAGATGGAGCCGTGTTGCCTTCACATGATTCATGAGGCCAAGCTCACGGGACATGTTTTTCCTGACCAGACGGTGTTGTGGGTAGATCTGATTGTACTCATTGTTCCTCAGACTTCAGCTGGCATGAGGTGTGGGTTTTAACCCTCTTGGCCAATGATCCACCCGTCCAACAAATACTGATTGAGAGCCTCCTGTTCCAGGTGCACAGGAGAGACAGCTGTGAACCCAACAGATGGGTCCCCTGCCCTCAGAGGGCCTTATGCCACCTGGGGAGAAGACACACCAGCAGGATGAAAAGAATTGCTCGCCTTTGGGAGTGCTTGGGTTCAGACCTGCCTTTCCTGAGGCCTCAGAGCTGTGTCCCTCCCCTACTCCCTCCTCTTTAACTCTCTCTGGGCTGGAACAGGAGGAAGGGAGGCCAGAAGACCTTCTGATAGATGGTGTGGCACCAGACACTGAGAGTGAGCGAGCTAGGAGTGAACTGAGTGAGGCTAGGATTTAGCCATGTCACGGGAGTAAACAGGAGGCAGAAGCCTGGCCCAAAACTCTGCAGGCCTCCCTGTGAAGATGGGACCCCCCCTCCTTGTCCCAGGGACGGGGCCCTGCCGTTCTAATGACCGAGTATGGGAGTGAACTGGGAACGCTTGCTCTTCCAGCAGACTGGTCACCCTGGTCCCCAGTCCCTGTCCATCAGCTTTGGTCCAGGTGTCCTTGTGCCTGAGGCCTGGCCCAGAAGGTCCTCTTGTACCGCGTGCCACCCTTGATTATTTTGCACAGCGGAGGCCCCTCCCTCTAACAAGGCTTTCCGGCGCTCCATGGAGGCTTGGCAGGCTTTGGGGATCCTTCAGAAATGGTGTGGCATCTGCACGCAGCCCAGCAGATGACGATGTGGGCCCCTGCTGACGGTGCCATCCAGGGGTGTGTGGGCAGGCGAGGCGAGTCAGAGTCTTCCTTAACGGAGCCGCACGGACTACATTCAGCACCTGGGCTCCGCGCTAGCAAACCTGAGCCCCTGCTCCATCCCGCACAGGATCTACCGCCAGGCCCACAGCCTGCTCTGCAGCTTCCTGCCATGGTCCGGCATCTCCACCAAGGGTGGCATTGAGTATAGCCGGACCATGTGACACCAGCCGGGCAGCTGACATCAGGCCCCACCCTTCGGCACCCTGTAGAACCCGCCTTCCTGGCCATCTGACTTCTGTTGTCTGCATAGTTGCTGGTGGCCCCTTGCCTGGCCTGTCGGCCTGCCCCAGCTGCAGGCCCGGTGCTACGTGGGCTCGGAACAGAGCGTCGCAGGGCACACCTGGTCTGACAGGTACGCTGGAGCAGGTTGTTTAGGGAAGAGGGGTGCAGAGCCTGGCGGGATGATGGTACCAGGAAATGAAGCCCATGGCACACTCAGCCATAAAAAGAGAAGGGCCTGAATGGGTACTTGCTGCACTGGGGTGTTGGGAAATAGTAGCAAGAGCTGAGGTAGCCTGACTGACTTTCAGAAACTTCAGGAAGGAAAACAGAGTCCTTGAGCCCTTGGCCAGACTTCTGTCTCTTCACTTCCTGAACTGCATGTTAAAAAAGGATGCATTCACATGGTTCAGAAATGGAGAAGATACCAAAAGATCAAGCCCCGGCCCCAGCCACTCAGCTGCCTTCCTGAGGGACTTCTGATGCTGCTGCGTCGTGGCCGAGTTTCCAGGTCCGCTATAACACCAGCAGCTTGGGGCAGGTGCCTGGTAGACCAGAGCTCTGCTCAGATGCAGCCACTTGTGAGTGCCGTGAGTGCCGCAGGGAGCTGATCTCAGACCTCTGAGCCACGAGGGGTCATGGGGACCGCAAGGCCCACCCCCTGGTGCACGGGCATAGCCCAAAGCAGTTTCGTGTTGGGGGTAACTCACACAGCAGCACTTCATGACCACCTGTGCCTTGATTTGTTCAGGGACTGGGAGGGACTCTGGGCCTGGAGGGCTTGTGCTCCAGGCTAGGTTGTGCAGGCTAGCACAGGACATCTCCCGGGAACCTTCACCCCCGCTCCCCTCTTCTTTCCCGCAGGCTCTTCCAGCCCTCCTTCCTTTTCTGGTAACCTCCGGAAACCGCTGCCTCTGCCTGCGCCCTGGTCCTGCCTCTGGGAGTATGCACCAGCCCCACTGGCCGGCTGGGGTGTGGCGGCATTCACTGTGGTCTGTTTCTTCCTCTACCCCTTCCCCTCCACTGCCCGTTCCTTCTAGCTCCTTCCTCCAAAGCCGGAATGAACTTTTGCTGGAAGGGAGGAACCCAAGTGTTATGGACAGACCTCACCCTAAAGGCAGAGGAGCCTCAGAACAATGAGGGGGTGAAATAAAGGGAATGCCAGATCCTTATCCAAAACCAGCCCACAGAATCCTGGGGTGTGAGGAGAAGCCCCTGCCTCTCCGTGAGGGGCTGTCGCATGGCGGGCAGAGCCCAGAGGCTTTTCACCCCAGCACAGAGCTCTGGGGCTTGGACCCTGACGTGGGAGGTCCAGTCCTCCAGTGGCCTCCTGCTGAGGGCTTCCTGCTGTCCTGGGGAGAATGGAACTGCCCATCAGATGGCAGAGGTTGGCTCAGCTGAGCTGCCCCCGGGAGCTGGGCTGAGGACAGGTGCCAGTGAAGTGTCCGGGGGTTCCCTCCCCACCTCCCCAAGTCCATGAGCTGCAACTCGAAGATGCAGATAGGAGGAAGCTGAGAGTGCTCTTGATGGAGTGGGGCCCTGCCTTTGGGGTGGGGGGCTGTCACGTGCCATGTGGCCCCTCAGTCCCCAGGGGCAGAGACAGGAGAGGCCGTCAGTGCCAGGAAGTGTGCGTGCGAACATCACTTGCTTCTGGCGTCACCCTCACCCCCGTTCCCCAAAGCTGCTTGCTGTCTGCCCTGCCCTCCAGAGTAGAGGGCCGGGCGGCAGAGTCATGCCCGGTGTTGCTGCGGTGTCTTGGAGCCATGGCCACGGCGCGCCAACCTGAGGGCAGGAGGAGAAGGGGGAGCAACTGAGCCGGGGGCCGGAGTGACTGCCATGCTTCCCTCCCTCAGAATTGCCCAGCCTGGGGTCACCTCCACCCTCGGGGGGGGAAAGGTGTTCTCAAGAGGAGGATGAGCCCTGGGCTGGAGGAACACTTTTCCTCCTTCGACTGCCTCCTGACTGGTGGTGCCTCTCGGGGAGAGGTCTGGGTCTCGCTGACCTGTCCCCACCTCTGCACTGACCTTGGCGTCATATTGAGGCCCAGCCTGATGTTCTCTCTCATCTGAATCATCGGTGATTGTGTGATTTTTATTTCTGCCCCGAGGGGTAAGGAAGAGTCTTCTGGAAGGTTTTGCCTTGGACATTCATAATTGAGCTCAGAGGCCTCGCCCTGCCTCTCCCTCCCTGCCCTCAATCACTGCAGTGTCCAGCCTAGTGTTGAACAGATTGTAGTGTTTGTCTCATTACAAATAAACAGACTTTAATTGGTCACATCGTGTCTTTCCAGTGCCGGCCCACCACGCTTTGGGCTCTACCCCTGTGGACTCAGCCCCGGTGGCTGAGGGCAGCCCAGGAACTGCTTGTCCACTGTCAAATTCCAAGGATGGCTTCCAGCTGAAAGGGCTGATTGTTTTTGCGTAATTCAGCAAAGAACGCAGTCGTGGGGAAGAGCTTCTAGAGCTGAGCAGCACGACAAGGCTCTGAGATCGGAAGGTCCTCAGCAGCCGCCTGCTGTTTAGGGGTCTCTGTGCAGCTCTTGGCCTTAGCTGGGGCCCGGTCCTGCACTGTCCTGGCTCAGAAAAGGTTCCACAGGGGACTGAACACCATTGTCAGGTAGGGACTCTGGGCCGCAGCATGGGAGCCTGAGGCAGGGCTCAGGTGTGTCCCAGCCCCTGGCTGGGCCAAGCCGGGGACCAGGTGCTTCCACCAACCTCTCCTTGGAGCTTCTGGCCACTCTGGGGGAACGGGGTCATGTCTGTCACTCCATTGGACAGATGAAGAAAATTGGTTCGGGGACTGCGAGTTACCCCACAGCTGCTCAGCACGTGAATGGTAGCCCAGGCCTGGACCTCTTCGTAGCCCATGTGTGCTGCTCCCTGAGGGTCGGGCATCATCCACACAGCCCTCCCTGGGGAACAGGGCCTAAGGCACCTGCAGAGCTGGGTGTGTGGGAGCCCCTGGGGTGGGGGTGGGAGGTGATGCTCCCATAGGGAGCCCTGAGCAGCGTCCCTGGTGCTGGCAAGTGACACTCAGGTTACTTACGCTGGAACATCTGTCTTCACTGTGCCAATGGGTCAGCTTCAGGAGTAAGTAAGTAGCTAAGTCCTTGGGGCCCTTGCCCAGTTGTGTGGCCGAGTATCAGCTTGCCCCTGGGGGGTGGGGGTTCTGATTGAGCCGTGCCCTGAACGCAGCTGTGCCTTCCCGGCCTGGCCTCCCCACAGCGGGCTTCAAGGACACAGTGTCCCAAGGGCTGAAACTGACCCCTGGTGGCCTGGTGCAGGACCCTGTGGCTATTGAGAGGGTGGGGTTGGGGTACCCCAGGGTGGCCAGTCACATTTCCCGGAGTGTCTGCTTGTCTGGGATGTTCCTTCACATCAGCTGGGGCACTAGGACTGCGGCTTCGCTCTCAGCCTCTTCTGAGTTTTTTTCAAGAAAGTCTTGGGAGGTTAAGAGAGAAACTGTTGAGAAGTCAGCCTAGTGGGTTTTCTTTGGATCCAGCTTGTCTGTTGCAGCAGGTGTCTCTCCAGGGAAGAGCTGGGGCCAAGGGATCTGCTCCAAGAGGGCCCAGAGCTTGGCTGTGACTGTGGCTGTGGCTCCCTCCATGTGGCCTCACCTGAACTGACTTGGTTTCCCATCATGTGGGACTGGCCTCCCCAGCGCACACCCTGGAAGCTGCCAGGCGTCCTTCAGGCCAGAAGTGACACCATGTCACTTCTGCCACATTCTCTTGGTCAAGCAAGACCTTGAGCCAGTCCCAGTTCAAGGTTGGGGAGGGGGACTGCAGGAGCCAGAATACTGGGACGCACGCATTGGAGGCCACCAGAGTGGCCCCTGACCCCAGCCTGAGTATCCCGAGATCTGGACTCTGGAGTAGTCTGCACTCCCTCCTGAGCCTCACGGCTTCATCCAAAAGTGAGGGGATTGGGCCTCTGTCTACTAGGACCAAATACTGTGGCTGCTGGCAAGGTCTCGATTCTGCCCAGTGCCTGGGATGGCCTCCCTAGCTTCTGTCTTAATTCTACCTGGCCTTGGCCTTCTGGGGCAGTAGGTATTGTAGCAGAGGGAGGAGACACCCTTTTTGTCACCCCCCAGTGGCTCATCTGGAGTGGACCCGCTGCGTGGCTATGTCCCTGCCCCAGTCCCAGGTGGAGCATTCAACACCTGCTCTCATCAGTCCGCCTTCTAGGGCTGCTCTCTGGATGCTGCAACTCAGGCTCCCACCACCCAAGGCCACAGCCATACTTGTAACAACCTGAAAACTACCCAGGGACCAAAGTCTCCAGAATCTGCTGTCCCAGGGACCTACAAAATGTCCAGTTGTGAGACCAGGGTACAAGGGGGGGGCGGGGCGGGGGGATTATTCCCCTCCATCTGGAAGGAACCCAGCTGTCCAGGTGTCCATAGTGTCCTTAATCACATGTGATCTGCCAAGAGCCCCTGGTGGGGCCAGCTCAGCCCTAGCCTGACCTGGGCTGCCAGGACTGGAAGTCAGCCACACAGTGAGGGGCATTGCGACAAACCCAGATCATCCCATATTGTCCCCCTTGGGCTGAGGTCTAGTGATATAGAGCAGGGGGTTTCAACCAGAGTGATTCTGCCACCCCCTCCCCCAGGGGACATTGGACACTGTCCGGAGACACTTGGTTGTCACACTGGGAGACATCCTACAATGCACAGGATGGCAGCCATAACAGAAAGATCCAGCCCTGAATGTCAACAGAGTCGAGGTACAGAGGAGTCCAAGCTGAGTGTGCCTGGAGTCCAGGCCAGCTGAAAGAACGGCTGTGTCCATCCTGTGTGAAGGGACAGGGCAGCCAGGGGTCCCCATGGGGCAGTGAACTCAACCAAGGACTGAGTGAGTGGTGGCATGGGGTTCAGGCCAACATTTCCACCCAGGTCGAGAGTTGCTCTCTTCTCTGGTACTCTCTCTACACCTGGCCTGCTTCGTTGGTCCTCTGCTGCCTCGGCCAGAATGCCCTGCCTTGCATTTAGGTCTGTTGAGACATCGTCTATCCAGGAAGACTTCCGGGAGTCCCACCCAGAGGAGAATGTTCACTCCTCAACCAACACTGGGAGTGCCCTGGATCCTCCCTGGCATCAACCTGGAACTTGGCTCTCAACACAGATGGCAGGTGCTCTGAGAGGCTCTTTCTCTGCATTGACCTCACCACAGACAGACCCAGGGACGAGAGGGTGCAGGCCTTGGCTTTTATTGAAATTAGACCTGTGGGCTCCCTGGCCTCTTGGAGCCTAAATCTCCACTCAGCCTGGCCTCCCAGGTACAAGTGGCTGACCTGAGCTGGAGCAGGCTGCAAGGGCTTCTATTTTTTCTGTTCCTCCCGCAGGACTTCCTCCTCCCTCCCCCCTGTTGAGTCTTCTGCCTGAGGCCGGCCCAAGCTCTGGTGCTGGGCAGCTGCCGGGGTGCGTCAGTGTGGGGCGGCTGCTGGTAGGGGCAGAGCCCTTCCTGTCTGCACCTGCCTCCTCCTCCGGAGCCATCCTTTTCCCTCCTGTCCACAGCCGGGACAGCCAGGCTTGGCTCTCAGATCCCTACGGTCTCTCCAGAGCCCCAGAGCGGGTTCTCTTGCACAAGGGACATGTGGACTCCTCTGAGGTCCCCCAGGACCTTTTGGGCCTGAGCCCCAAGACTTTGGAGGGACCAGGCTGGGAGGGGACACCCTTGGCTGGGTCCGCGCTGAAAGTGGAAGCTGAGGAAAGTAGGGAGAGACAAGTCACTCGGAGGGACCCAAGTGGAGGCTGCCAGGCCATCCTATGAACCCACCCCCTAACCCCCGGGACCTGGCATTCTTCAAAATAGAAAGGGAGGGGCAGTTCTCCTGAAAGAGAGCCCATGAGGGAGGGAGGAAGAAGAAGGAAGCAGAGGGTTCAAGCTGGAAGGACCCTTGTCTAACGATCCCCTCATTTTATAAATGGGCACACTGAAGCTGGGGATGGCAGGTGTGATGGTGGGGAGCTGTTCAAGGTCCCTCACCAAGTGCAGAGCTGGGGCAGGAACCCCGGAACCTTGGGAGTGAAGAAGGGCCCATCTCGGTCCATCTGAGTCCCCAGCCAACCCTTCCCTGAGTCGTTCCCTCCTGTCCCCGGCTCTGCCTCACCTGGACCGGTGCTCACCTGTATTTCCCAGGATGTCCCTGGGCACTGGAGCTTCCAGAAGGGCTGAGCAGTGGCTGTTACCTGGGCCCAGAGTCCCCTGTGGAAGGTCTAGGGGCCAGGCCATGCCCTCAGGCTGTGGGAGGCAGCCCCTGGCCACGAGCCGGCCCAACCAGTGGCTCTCACACTGGCCGGCAGCCTGCATATGGCCCGGCAGGTAGAGAGCCAGGCCCCGGAGGTGGCGTAGCCGGAAGTTCTTGGGCTTGCTTCCCTGGGCACGGGGGCACTGCTGCTGCTGGGCCCCCAGCCCCCCCTCGTAGATGTTGGGTGGTGTGTCAGGGTGGCTGGGATGTCCTCGGGCCCAGCTCACTGCATCTGCGGAGGGGAGAGCAGGAGGGTGGAGGTTGGCAGGCCGCAGCAGCCAAGAAGGGAGAACACAGTCACATGCTCTAAGACCAGCTTGTGTGATGGCCTCCACCCGTGGCTTGCTGAGCCTTGGCCTACCTTTCCATCAAATGGGCTCAGTCCCCTGCCTCCTACCAACCCCCACCCAACATATTACTCCTCTTCCCTTTCCCAACCAACAGGGAGGTCTGAGAAGCCTGAGATCATGACACAAAGATCTCTTTCAGGATTTCAAGCCCTTTCTACCACCCCTTTTTGCCCCCTACCCTAGAAAGAGCATTCCGGTGTCAGTATAGGAATTGCACAGTGGGTCCAGGATCACACAGTCCAGGGTCACACAGCCTAGACCAGTGGCCATTCCCCTCTCCCAAGCATGAACGTCCCTGAGGCCACTCTCGTGGCTTTGGGCCCAGGTCAGGATAGGAGGGCATCTCTCCTCCTGCCACTCCTCCCTGCAGCCTGGCACCTTCTCTTATGCGCAGCTCAGAGAACGCACAGACCAAGGCTTCCATGGAGGGCCAGCGTGGTGGGGGAGGAGCGGCTGGGCCTCCTGTGCAGCAGGGCTCTACTCTCCCCTGCCTGGGTCTGCAGGTCTCCCATGGCAACCAGCTCTGTGATGTCAAATGGAAGACTCCCAGCCTTCCTGGACCCCCAAGTTTGGGAGGGGATGATGCCCAGGGCTGGGGCAGGGGGCTAGAGGGCAAGGGAAGGGGATGGAACCCGAGGGGAGGTCGCTTGTGACAGGCCACACGAAACAG